AATCCTACTTCCGTAGTGATACTGCCTCGGAAACCCAAGGAGGGGTCGCTATGAGTCGGGGCCGACTCGACGGCACATAACAACAACAACAACAACAGTGAGATAGGATGATGCTCAAAAGCTCTATTGGCATATAACCTTTCCCACCTTTCCGCCTGCCTCCCCTTCCCACCTCATTTTACATGATGCTGTCCCTGACTTTTGACACTGCAGTCATACCAGCTTTCTCATTCATAGGAAGTACCACATGCCTTGCTGCCACAGGACCTTTGCTCATATTGCTCTGTGTTGCTCTGCTGTTTGACTACTGTCCGTCCTCCAGGTCTCAGGGAAGTTACTATCTCAGGGAATTTCCTCTCCCTCTGCACTGAGCAAACCCTGATAAAAAGTCTTGAAGCACTTTCCACAATTGTAATTTTACATTTATTGATACGATTTGATAAGTCAAACTCCGCTACTAAAGTCTAGCTCCATAGTTTTGCTGTATATTACATTCCTAGGGCCCATCACAAGCCTAATATATAGGAACTCAGTGAATATTAGAATGAATGAGAGAAGAAATAAGTGTAAAGGACCAGGGCTGTGTTTAATCTGTTAAGAAATCCCTAGTCCCTGATGCCCTTTTCTCACTTGCTTACCTTCATCTCTCCAAGTGAGTAAAAGGCCCTTTGAGGGGAAATACCAAAGATATTTAATAATTTTGAGTTTGGTTACCTAAATTTAAAACAATTAAAAAATACATGAAGCTCAGCGTTCAGACTAGTAAGGGTGAAAAAGTTAGCATTGATTATCTGCTTTGTACTAAGTAATTGAGATGCATTGTCTTATTTTCTAAAGATCCCATGGGTTTTAGGTGTCATGTTTTACTTTCCAGGGGCAGTCTACTGATGTCTTTGAGTAGTAGTTTTTTTTTTTCAATCTGAGAAAGTTTCTTGGATTTTTTAAATTAGTTTTTTTTTAAATTGTTTTAATGTGGTATCAGCATGAAAAAAAAATTTGCCAACTCATTTCATTTTGCATATACAATTCAGTGACATTGATTACATTCATTATGTGCAAGGATCACTACTATTTATTTCCACATAATTCTACCACCATTAACAGAAACTCACTACCCCCTAAGCAAAGACTCTTTTCCTCAGTAGCCACTACTAAACTTTGGTCTCTGTACGTTTGCCTATTTCAATAGTTGTTACAGAGACTCACTGCCGTTGCATCGGATCTGACTCATAGCTGCTACTCCTTGGGTTTCCAAGGTAGTATTACTATGGAGGGAGCTCTGGTAGTGTAGTGTCTGAGGCACTTGACTGCTAATCAGAAGGCTGGCAACCCACCAGCCACTCCTCGGAAGGAAGATGGGGCAGTCTACTTCTGTAGTGATACAGCCTCGGAAACCCAAGGAGGGGTTGCTATGAGTTGGGTCCAACTCGATGGCACATAACAACAACAACATCACTATGGGAGTAGATTGCCCAGTCTTCCTTCTGAGGAGTGGCTGGTGGATTTGAACAGCCAGCCTTCTCGTTAGCAGTCACATGCCTTAAGCACCACAGAGCTCTGGTTTTCAATGGCTGACTCTTTAGATGTAGATTGCAATGCCTTTCTTTAAGGGTGGAGTTGAATCTCCAATAATATTTAATAATTCTGAACCTCCAACCTTTCAATTAGCATGTTCTGGTTACATAGTGCTACTCTGACAAGAATATACCACAAATGGGATGACCTTAACAAATAGGAGTTTTTTCTTACAGTTTGGAGGCTTTAAGTTCGAGTTCAAAGTGCCAGGCTCTAGGGGCTGGGTAAAAGCCTCTTAGTCTTGGACTTCAGCTCTGCCTCCTGCTCCTAGCCCACTGGAGCTAGAGGCTTTTCTTCACTCAGATAGCTGCTGGCTGCTGAGGCTGACAAGCCCAAGGTTGACAAGTAAAAGGGCACAGTCCTGATGCTACCAAACCATACGGCAGGCCATTAATTAAGTCCATTGAAAGTCCCAAGGTTGGCAGAGCATGGCAGGCTGCTGAACGACACAGCTAGATGCAGGGTTCAAGCATGCCATAACCTAGAGACCATTCCCAAAGCTGTTTCTTATATACAGGAAGCAGACCACATTCTTAAAGCAGCTACTCAGCTGCTTGTGGTAGGTCCCACCATGGAGTTGACTGCCAGTTTCCTCATGGGGAAAACTACCACCAGCTGCCCAGCCACTCGACCAGACCCAGCCAAGTTGACACACAAACTTAACCACCATACATGTTAACTGTTTACACTACCGAAGTACTCTGAAGTAATCCTAGTACCTTTCATAAAGATGCATCTTTAAGATTTGTTTACTGTCTTGGTTCTCTCATGCTGCTGTAACAGAAATACCACAAGTGGATGGCTCTAACAAACAGGAATAAATTCTCTTCGTGAGGAGGCTAGAAGTCTGATTTCAGAGTGCTGGCTCTAGCGGCTGAGTAAAGGCCCCTCAACCTTGGGCTTCAGCTCTCTTATTCCAGGCCTACTGGAGCTAGAGGTTTTTTCTAACTTAGGCAGCTGCAGGCTGCTGAGGCTGATGAACCCAAAACCAGCAGGCAAAATGGTACAGTTCTAAGATCAGCAGGCAACATGGTAGACTATTGGTTCAAGTCCAGGAGCAATCCCAAGATTGGCAGGCAAGATGGCAGGCCATTGGTTCAAGTCCAGGAACTGGAGATGCAGACTTGGCCAAATGCAGGATCCAAATGGGCAAAAAACTATAGACCTTTCTCAAAACTTCTCCTTATATACTTGGAGCAGTTCATACCCCAAAAGCAACTATTTAGCTGCTCACAGCAGATTCCACTGTGGAGGTGATTGCATTCTCATCATGGGAAAGAAATTACATCCAGCTGCAAAGCCACTCAGAACCACAGGCCAGTCAAGTTGACATATAACTTTAACTATCACACTTACTTTTTTGTTCCTGTTATTAAAAATTACCAAAGTGATTTCTCATCTTTATGGAACAACTAGAAAAAAGGAAAAGGAAAAAAGTCTCTGAAATTTCATCAGCTAGAGGGGAAGACCCTCTCAACATTTTGGCACGTATATCCTTATTCTAGGAGCTCTGGTAGCATAGTGGCTAAAGCACTTTACTGCTAACCAGAAGGCTGGCGGTTCAAACCCACCAGCCACTCCTCGGAAGGAAGGTTGGGCAATCCTACTTCCGTAGTGATACTGCCTCGGAAACCCAAGGAGGGGTTGCTATTAGTCGGGGTGACTCGATGGCACATAACAACAACAACATCCTCATTCTATTTCCAAGGCAGATAATACATTTTTTAAAATTTTTTTCTTGTGGATAACAGTTGTCCTAGCTCTTTTATTGTGTGGTTATTTTTTTCCTCACTCATTTGGGTGTATGAATATGTGTCTGCATGTTGCATGTACATGTGTATGCACATATGTGCTTGTGTGCTACATGTACTTGTGGATCTGATGCTAGCCTCTGCTTTTATTACATTTGTCTGCTGTATGCCAGTATCACAATCTAATAAGTTTTACTAGGATAGGCCCCTATAACTTCTTTTTCTCTAGAATTGTCTTGGTTATCCTTGATTTTGATCTTTCTTACTTGAATTTTGGCTTTTGGTTATATGAATTTAGGGATTATCTTGTTAAATTCCATAAACATCCTTGTAACTGCATAGATTGGTATTTGAGATCTTATTGTTCATATTTATGATTATTTTTCTTGGAGTAAGTTTCAAGAAATAGAAATCTTAAGTTAGAGGATATGAAATTTAAAATCCACATTATTTGATCAAATTGGCACACATTTTAAAAACGTGAACAGTGTGTACCACTGGCAAAGGCTTGTGAAATGGGCAATTGAACACATTGTTGACAGTGTAAATTGATCTATATTTGTGGGTTGTTGTTATTGTTGTTATGTGCCATTGAGTCGGCCCCAGCTCATAACAACCCCACCTTGGGTTTCTGAGGCGGTATCACTATGGAAGTAGATTGCTCAACCTTCCTTCCAAGGAGTGGCTGGTGAGTTTGAACCACCAGCCTACTGGTTAGCAGTCAAGTGCCTTAGGCACTATGCTGCCAGAGTTCCCTCCCCATTTGTGGGTAGCAATCTGGAAATAGCTATTAAGATTAAAAAGCCACTCTGTTTTTTGTTTCAGCAGTTCTATTTTGGGGAAGTCTATAGAAATGAAATGACTTGTGCCTAAGGGTATATATGTGTATATGGTTAGAGCAGTTTTATTTTTAATAACAAAAACTAGATATTTCCGCCATGTTCATCAGCTGTAAACTATCATATTAATTATGGTAGTCTTTATACCATAGAATGTGTAGATATTAAAAGGAGTGAGTCACATCTATATGCATTAATCTAGAAAACTATTACTGATAACCACTGAAAAAACAGTAGAGAGGAATGTGAATCCTAGGAGTCCATTTTTATTTGAAAATAGGAAGGATAGAACTCTGAATAGATCCATATGGTTATATATATTTGTATAAGAACCTACGGAAACATAGAACAGTATATACACCAAGCTTAAATTGACTATTGCAAAGGGTTAAGGTGGAGATAGGGAGAGAAACTATTTTTAAATACATCTCTTAAATATATTCTTACATTGATATAAAAAAAAATTGTTGAGATATAGTTTACATACCATAAAATTCACTCTTTTAAGGTGCAGTTCAATGGCTTTTAATATGTTCACAAAGTTTATAAACATTACAACTATTTTAATTTCAGAACATTTTTTTACCCCATTTATATTGACGTTTTATAAACTTCTTGAACTTTGATGCTAGTTTGAAAAGCAGTAAATAGTTTTTTAAAAAGGAAATCACACTGACTTACAGTTTGATAGGTCTGTTTTAGAAAAGAGCCCTGCCTGCCCCTGGGAAGAGTCAGTCACATGTGTAGCCTTTTGGAAATCTACCCTTTTGGATTCATCTAGACTGTTTTAATGTAAATGCAATAATAACAGTTCATCAAGAATTTTAAGCAAAAGAATGAAAATAAATTGGATCTTTACAATTTCCATTGCTCAAAATGTTAAAACTCCTGTTACCTAGTTGATAACTTATACCAGTAGCCTCACATGAGTGTTCCTGTATCATTGTCCTCTTCTCAGCAGTAAGTATTAGGTTAAACAAGGTGTGAAAATTGGTATCTTGCTTTTGTCATTCTTTGGTCAACAATGAGATTGAATTTTTTTTTCACGTTTCCTAGTCTTTCCTTTTTTTGGTGAATTTTTGGTACTGTTTTTTGTTTTTTATCTATAACCAGTGCCTAAAGCTACTTGTTACATAATAATTTCCTTCTCCATCATTGTGTTTATTTATTGGATATAGAATTCTTACATTATAATTTATTCCAAATTGTGTTTTGATCTTTTTAAAATGATTTGTCTTCCATATTTAGCGGGTGTATGATGAAGAAGTAGAGGAGCCAGTACTCAAGACTGAGCCAGAAAAAGCAGAACAGGTACTTTAAATATTAATTTATCCTTCAGCAAAGTTTCTCATTTAGAGGGGTAGACATTTGTAATGTGGCTGGGGTTGTGGGGGTGGGGAGTGGGGCAGATATTGGGGAAAATGGGAGAGATTGCTGCTGGCAACCTAACAATAGAATCCTTTTGTCTGTTTCTAAATTTTAGTGTGTTAAGTAATATGTACATTAAGTCCATGAGTCCTGGCTTAAGAACAGAGCACAGGTTGGCAAACTTTTTCTATAAAAGGCTGTATAGTAAATATGTCAGGTTTTGTGGGCCACATGGGTCTCTGTCACATATTATTATTTTTTAAAACAATTTTTTAATGATGTAAAAAGCACTGTTACCTCTATAGCCATATAGCGGACTACCATTCAGGCTTTCGTTTCCCAGCTGTAGAATAGAGTGTTAGTAGATGAGTTTTTGGACTCATGTTTTTAGAACTACATAACCAGACCAATTCTGTGAGTCCATGTTGATAGACTTGCCTGCAGGCATCTAAATGTGCTATTACTAACTAGTCCAGGGGTCTAGTGACATTTGAGAAGAGCTCTCTATACTTTTAAAGACTGTTTCTCTATTCTCTTATGAATGCTTTGATTCTTACTATTCCTACTTGATAAAATGATAGTAAATGAATACTGCTTTAGTCTACACACACTCGAATGCCTACTAAGTGCCACAGAATATTTTGATACTGAGGATACAGAATGTATAGTGAACATTTAAAAACCAAAACCAAACTCACTGCTGTGGAATCAGATCCAACTCATAACAACCCCTCTTTGGGTTTCCAAGGAAGTATCACTACGGAAGTAGATTGCCCAACCTTCCTTCCGAGGAGTGGCTGGTGAATTTAAACTGCCAACCTTTTGGTTAGCAGCAGTCAGATGCCTTAGGCACTACACTACCAGAGCTCTTAGTGAACATTTATGACCCAGTAATATGACTGTAGGGAGCTGGTGACTTGGAGGGAGACTTTGCCTTCCAGGGGTTATAGTCTGGGTTGGGGTGTTGGAGCTGTGTGCTTGGTAAGTATTTTGGAAGTCCAGACAAGGAAGAGCTTACTTGTATAAGATAGCAGAGAAAAGCTTCAAGGATGAGACTTAAGCTGGGTAAAGAAAGCAGGGCCGATTTTAAGGTAGTGGTGGGATGGAGAGAGCAGCATTTCGGCCAGAATGACATGAGTGTGCTAAGGGTTAAAGTTGAGGGATATAGCTGATGTTTTATGGGCTGTATTTGTGGAAGTAAATAGAAGTCAGGCAAGATTAAGAAAAGGAAGAGGAGGCCGGTGTTCAGGAATGGTTCAAGCATCAGGCTAAGGAATTAAGAGGCAGCAATTCTGACCTTTTTTTCCTGTAGCTTCATGTGTTACAGACTGATAACCATTCGCCTTTGGGTATTCCCACATTGTAGGAAAAAGTGTAGATAAGGGACCATCAGCCATCCTGACTCTCTAAGTGTTTCTTCACCAAGAAAGCACCATGGAACCTGAAGAATAACTTTCCTATGGGAGTAGCTTTGAATTAGCTCTAATTTACTCTGAAAATATAAATCATTTGAAAAAGCTGGTACTTTATCTGTAACTCATACTTGTTATACAATGAAGCTATTAGATGGGAAAGGGATAATAGAAATCAGCTATAAACCTGTCTATTCCCAGTCTTTTTTTTTTTTTTTAAATAGTACACAAGGATTTGCTAACCATTTAAGTACAATAATTTCTGGCTCCACTAAGTAGGGTTAAAATTTAAAGTGATTGGTATTCAGTGAACTATTTTTAGAAAGCCACTGTTTTATTTCTTTTACATATTTGCACAGACTTAAAACAATATTAGCTATTTAACTCAGAACCAAGCATATGTTGTTGTTGTTATTGAGTCGGACCCGACTCATAGCGTCCCCTCCTTGGGTTTCCAGGGTGGTATCACTACGGAAGTAGATTGCCTAACCTTCCTTCCGAGGAGTGGCTGGGGGTTTGAACCGCCAGCCTTCTGGTTAGCAGTCAAGTACCTTAGGCACTATGCTACCAGAGCTCCTGAACCAAGGATATAGGAGTAGAAAAAGATGCAGTCTGTCCAAAAAAAAAAAAAGTTAAATTAGAAAGACTTTAATACTTAAAGTAGAAGGATGAAATGCTTAAAGAGTTTTCCCTTTGTCCTTCAAAACTGCATTGTATTTCGTGCGGTTCCTTCATACCTACTTCTCACTCATTGATTATTTCATTGTCTAGCATTTTACACTTAAAACAATAGTAAAAAATCTACTATCCGTTTATTTTGCGCATTAATGTATATCTGGCGATAACAGATGCCCGAAGCTCTAGGCAAGAGTAATGCTGGCTGTGATGGTTAAGGTTTTATGTCCACTTACCTGGGCCATGATTCTCAGTGCTTTGGCAGTTATGTAGTGATGTAACTCAGCAGTTATGTAACGATGTAGTCATTTTACATTTTGTGATCTGATGTGGTCATCCCCATTTTTGCATAATGCCAATTTTCATAAAATGAAAAATGAAAAGTGGGTGTATAGTTATGTATCAACATCTAGAATCTTTGTGAAGAAGGGAAGATGACAGTATTTTTTCAATATTTCTCATATTAATAACACACGTGTTTGTCAGGCTACTGCTACTAAAGCAAGGGGGAGTTCTGTGGAATATTTTAAGCAGGTTGGTGGCATTCCAAGACATTTTTTGAGGGGATCATTTTTCTAGAGTGATGCATAAGATAGGTTAAAAATGAAACTGAATCTCTCAGTGTGAAACTAATTTATAATTGTAGTTGTCCAATTTTATTTTGGTTTTCTTTTTGACTATAATTGAAAATGACATTTCTGGCTGGAGTATTTTCTTCTGAGTCTTCGCTCCTAAAATTGTCAGAGGGATCATTTAACCAAGGTGAGTGGGATTACAGTCACGGTCATGGTGAATGTCTAGGCCCTTCATTCCTCTGGGAGCCATGAAGTGAAGTGCCATTTGAGTATTTATGATGTGCCATTCATTGTTAGAGTACCTGTTCAAAAGTTACTTGACTGAATCATCACATAGTAGCTGTACTTCTGGTTTTATGAATGATGAACCTGAAGCTTCAGGACCTTAGGTACTTTGAAGCATGTCTAAAAAGTGACGATGCTGGATTTGAAACTGGCATCTTACTTGATATCAAAGTCTGTCAAGCCATTCAGAGGAGTCTATTGTTAACATTTTTAATTAAGATTTTTGGAGAATAAGAGGCTGGGTTTTAGAGAACATTCACAGTATTTTATTGGGAGTGGTATCTATATCGAAGACCCATAGTAAACTATACACACACACACGCATACACACACACACACACTCTTAATTTATTTATTTACTTATTTATTTTTTGGTAGGAGAAAACCCGGGAACAAAAAGAAGTAGATCTGATTCCTAAAGTGCAGGAGGCTGTAAACTATGGTTTACAAGTATTGGACAGTGCATTTGAGCAGCTTGATATTAAAGCAGGAAACTCAGACTCTGAAGAAGAAGATGCTAATGAGCGGCTAGAACTGATCCTTGAACCAAAGGTAAAGACTTACTGTACTCGGTTCAGATATTTATTATTACCTGTTATGTCTTGGATACTTGGGCATATGGATTTTTTCTCTAGGAAATAAGCATATCTCTTAGCAGAAAGACTTGCTTTACATGAACATGCATTGAGCATTTGCTAGGTACGAGGTAATATGTCACATTATGGGGGAATAAAGATAAAGACATGGTTCTTATTGTCAAGATACTTAGTATAGTGTGGTGGGAAAGAGGACATTTACCTGAATAACCGTCATTAGTACAATGAGAGAGAATTGACTTCGGGCTGGGAAATTAGGGAGAAAAAGAGACTTGAATTGAGTTTTGAAGGATGAGGAAGCCCGTAAGATGTGGAGATTGTTGGAAAGCTAAAATTCTGTAGCTAAGGGGAATTGCAGAAGCATTCTAGAAATGGTTCTGGTCTTTTCAGGAGGGCCTGCAAATGGGTGCACACTGTACTCCACATGCATCTGTTCTGAATCATGGTATCCCATCAGTTTGCTACAGATCATTTCTTTAAAATTAGTTCTAAAAATCATGCTTCTTTTGGTAAACTGGAAAATCTTCATTTTTCTTGATTTTTATCCTAAACCAGAATATTGTAGCTGATGTTCATTAATTTAAAATACAAAAGAAACACAATTTATTCATAAGTCAATCACCATTAAATTTTTAAAGAAATTTTTATGTTGAGAAAGTTTGACTCAGAAGTTGTGAAAATATTACAGAGCATATATGTGTATCCTTCACCCAGCTTCCTCTAATGATAATAATCTTGTATAACCGTTTAGGGAGCTCTGGTGGTATAGTACCTTAAGCATTTGACTGCTAACTAGAAAGCTGGCAGTTCATACCCACCAGCCACTCCTCGGAAGGAAGATTGGCAATCTATTTCCATAGAGATACTGCCTTGGAAATCCAAGGAGGGGTAGCTATGAGTTGGAAACGACTCAATGGCAGTGAGTTTTTTTTTTTTTAAATCATATAACCCTAGTACATCATCATAATCAGGAAATTGAAACTGGCACAATATAGTTGAGCAAACTATAGACCTTATTTGGATTTCACCAGTTTTTTAATTGAGTTCCTTTTTAAATATTCTTGTTCTGTGACCTTTCATCATATCTATAAATTTGTATTTCTACCACTACAATCAAGATAAGGAATTCCTCATGCTACCCCTTTTAACCAATCATCTCCAGTCCCTAGACCCTTGCAACCATTAATCTGTTTCCCATTTTTACAATTTTATCATTTTTAAAATGTATATGTATATATAAAACATACATACGAAAAGACTCATACAGTGTGTGACCTGTTGAGATTGGCTTTTTTCACTCAGAATAATTCTCTGGAGTTTTATCTGAGTTATTCTGTGTCAGTAATTCCTTTTTATTACTAAATAGTATCCCATGGTTACACCACTGGTAAGCCTTTCCCCTGTTGAAGGGTATTTGGGTTGTTTCTACTTTTTAAGTATTAGAAATAAAGCTGCTATGAACATTCATGTACAGATTTTTATGTGGACAGATGTTCTTATATCGCTGGGATAAATGCCCAGGAGTGTAATTGCTGAGGCATATGCTAGCAATTTAACTTCATACAACAATTCATCCGTGAGGCAGAAAGATAGTGCTAACTTTTTTACATGTTATATTAGTTTCTCAGGGCTGCAATAACAAAATACCACAAAGTAGGTGTCTTACAAGAACAGAAATTAATCGTCTCAGAGTTCTGGAGGCTAGAAATTCAAATCGGTGTCGGCCAGGTCATGTTCTCTTCCAAGGCTCTGGGAGATGACCTTTTCTTGTTTCTCTGAGCTTCTGGTAGCCCCAGGCATTCCTTGGCTTGTAGATGTATCTTCATGGACTGTTCTTCCTCTGTGTGTCACTCTCTTCTCCTCTATTATAAGGTCACCACTCAGTTTGGATTAGAGTCCACCCTAGTGCAATATGAACACATGTTAACTGACAACATCTTCAGAGACCTTGTTTCCAAACAAGGTTGCATTCATAGGTCCCAGGGGTTAGGACTTCAACGTATCTTTTTTTTGGGATGGGGGAAGGTACAATTTGTTCATCACACATGTGATAACTGATGTTACCGCAGCTATGTTATTAGCCTTGCAGGTATTCTTTGCTTTTCTGTTACTTTTTCTCAAATTGGCAAAGGAGACAATTGGGGCAATACAGAGCCACTCATTAGTAAGCACAAAGGTTGCCATGTTGATTTTGAGTGAGCCCTCAAGATACAAGTGCCTTAAGAACTAAAAGATGCCACAAAACCAGACTCTTCTAGTTGTTAATTTAGCTCTATATTTCTCTTCTGGTTTGAGCTTTGGGACTGATCATTTAGCACTGGTGGATTTCCTTGCTTGCTTTTTCACTGTAGGGATTTAGAAGTCAGCAGTGGACCTCGGGAAATTTATTGTGTGGGCTATACTTACTTCCAAATTCCATACAACTTTCTTTTTCACAGGAGGACTTGGGAATGTGTTCAGTCATCAAGGAATTTGCCCAATAGTACTTTCTTTTCTAAATTCTACAGTAGGTAGGAATATTCTCTTGTTTCTTGGGTTATTTTTTCTATCACATAGAGATTCTCATCAGTCTTTTGGGCATGTGCCTTCAGATCCTTGTATCTGCTGTAGCATACTTGTGGGAGCTGCCTTTCTCACTTTCCATCTTGCTGTGGATATGTGTTTTGCCCAGCCTTTTCTTTGCCCACTAACAGTGTGAATAAATCCTTCTTGATTTCCTTTGTGCCTTGTTTGTGGTGTGCTTGTCTTCCCCTCTGAGCTCCTGGTATTGGATTTATCCTTAAATCAACAATGCGCTTTTTGTATCCTTTGATTGTAGTAGGTAGGATAGAGGGAAAGGTTAGCTCTTCTGTTTTGTTTCTGAGATTCTATTTGTTGAAGTGTAGCAAGGTTTACTCTTAACTATTTAGAGGCAGAGTTTGATCATAGGAAGGGTTACCTAGTAGCTCCTCCGATTTAGTCTGGAGCCCTGACCCCTGTGCTTTTGGTCAGAGCAACTAAGCCACCTGAACGCTTCCATTGTCATAGTCTTCAGTGCCCCTCAGCTGATCAGCCTCTCCTCCCCAACTGAGGCGTGTACATATTACCTTCTCATAGTCATATTTAAAAAAAAAAGAAGGGAAAAAAAACCTCCACTGCTGTCAAGCAGATTCTGACTTTAAGCAAGCCTGTGGGACAGAATATATCTGCCCTCTAGGGTTTCTAAGGCCTTGTCTTTCTCCCCTAGAGAGGCTGATGGGTTCAAACTAGTGATCTTTTGGTTAGCACCAAGCATTTAACCACTGTTTTATGAGGGCTGCTAGTTACAAAAAAGGAACCTGGTTATTTCCTCTGTTTTCTCTCCAATATTACTGAGGATTCTTGGTGGAGTTTTTTTTTCTTTTCTTTATTTTATTTTATTTTTTTTTTTTTTTGGTTCACCAGTACTGAAGGAAAGTGGGTTAGGACTCATATTAAAGCTTGCCAGAATTTTCTGTTTCTTTTTTTTGGTTTTTCTCTTGAACTTACGTTATAAGGGTACAGGTTGTGCCCCTTTCCTTGTTTGGTAACAACTGGTAAGGTTTTTGCCATTTTTGTTAATACAGCTAGGCACTTGAGAAGAGAGGTTCTGTGTGACTAGTTTTTGCTTTGCCATCTTTGTCCAAGATTTCACCTTTGTTTAAAATTAGTGATTTTTTTTTTTCTTTTACTTTCAGTCTTGCTTTGTTTCTTATTATGCACTGTTGTTACGTAACTTGTCCATAGTCAGATGAGCAAGAGGTCAAGTGAAACAATTTCGTTTTTAACCTCTGGAATAATTTCTTCCCTGTCTTTGTTTACAGGACCTGTACATTGATCGCCCCTTACCTTATTTAATTGGATCGAAGCTATTCATGGAGCAGGAAGATGTAGGTCTTGGAGAGCTATCTAGTGAAGGTATTTATTTTTTCTATTAAATACTTTTGTTAGTTTTAGCATTTATATTTTATCTCTTTATTTTAAAATAATTTGAAACTTTACATTAAAGTTGCAAGAATAGTACCAGGAACTTCTATACGCCCTTTAGCCAAATTCTCCATTTGTTAGCATTTTATCACATTGGTTCATCATCCCCTCTCTCTGTAGTCATGAGAGTTTTCCTGAAGCTATTTGAGAGACACCATGCCCTGTTACTGCTAAATATGTCTGTGTGTATTTTCTAAAAACATTATAGGAATATTTTCTAAGAAGTCCAAGTGTACTGTGGTTCTTCCATAACCAGTATAATTATTGAGCAAAAGAAGTTTGACTAGATACAATTTCAGTAATACTCAAATTTTGCCATTTGTCCCCATAACATCCATTACAGTCTCTCATTCTTTTTTTTTCCATCTGGTCCAGGATCCAACCCAGGATCACTCACTGTATTTGGTGGTCAGATCTCTATAGACTTCTTTTAATCTGTTAAAATTTTTTAGGCCCTTCTTTGCTTTTGAAGGAGCTCTGCTGCTACAGTGGTTAAAGCATTCAGCTGCTAACCAGAAGGTTGGTGGTTCAAGCTCACCAGCTGTTCTACAGAAGAAAGATGAGGCAGTATGCTTCTGTAAAGATTCACAGCCTTGGAAACCCTATGGGGAAGTTCTCCTCTGTCCTGTAGGGTCTCTATGAGTTGGAATCAACTTGATGGCAGTGGGTTTAGTTTTCTTTGCTTTTTACGACCTTAACATCTTTGAAGAGTACAGAGCAATTATTTTGTGGACTATCCCTCAATTTACATTGGTTTGGTGATTCTGCCAAATTAGACTGAGATTATGCATTTTTAGCCAGAATTCTTTATAAGTGATAAGGACCCATCTCAGGCATCCCTTTGGAAAGCATGTGAAGTTAGTCTTCTGTTGGCAGCAAACACCTTGGTCACTTGGTCAAAGTGGTGTCTACTCAGGTTCTCCTGTCAAGTTACTGTTTTTTTCTTTGTAATCAGTAAGTTTTTTGTGGGGTGATAATTTGAGACTTACAGGAAAGATGTTTCAAATTCCAGATGAGTATAGATGACCTTACAAAAAATCTTTATGATGCTATTGTATGGTAGCTTGTGATCTTAAAAAGGAAACAAGGTTGTTTTCTTGTGATTGTTGGTGATTAACACTTATCTCTCTTCTAAACAGAAGGTTCAGTAGGCAGTGATCGTGGTAGTTTTGTGGATAGTGAAGAAGAGAAGGAAGAGGAGGTAAGAGCTATTTGGTGTGATCAGGCCATGATGGTCAGGAAACTTTAGGACAAGTAGGCTACATAAATAATGTATTTGTGAATTAGTGATCTGTTTTTTATAAATTTTTTTAACAGTGACAGGAACCTGAAGTATTTTTCCTTAGAATTAGATTTCCATTTAGTCTTAATGGACAAAAACAAGGAAAACAGCTTTAAATGCTTTCTACCATTACCCTTCCTCCCACCTCACCACCACATCCCTCTTCTAGTACTTTCTGAGGGGAGCAAATTAGATATTTTGGTGGAATCTCTGCCTGAGATACAGTCTTTGAGTAGATTCTATTTTTGAATAATTCTAGGGGGAAAAAATATGTATAATTTCTTTTTAATCTGGTGGTGCTGTCCCTAAGGCATTTGACTGCTAACCAGATGGTTGCGGTGCAAACCTACTAGCCACTCTGGAAGGAAAACAGGCCAATCTGTAAAGATTTACTGCCTTGGAAACCCAGTGGGGTCTCTGTGAGTTGCAATTGAGTTTATAACAGTTGTTTTTTATAAAACCTTCTAGACCAGAAGGATGTTTAAAGCATCTACTTACATTGAGCCTCCAGCATCTTCATATTCCAGAGCATAATCTGACTCCCTGGTCTAGGTCTCGGTGTCTGTAGGCATTGACCACATTATATCTGAAGTTGTCAGTTGAGAAGGAATTTTCATAATTCAAAGAGCAAAGCCACTGAACAATAGTCAGTGAATATGAGATTTCTAAAAGGAGACAGTTGTGAGTGAATGGTCCACTCTTTGCATCCCTTCCCCTCGCTGCAGCCCCTCTCCTTGCCCTTCTCTCCTTGGCCCTCCAAATAACTTGCTTTAATAGATGGTCGTGAGCAGAATCCTTTGTTTTTAGAAATCAATGCAACTCTTTTCCTAATTACTGATAGCAAGTATTGTTACGTGTTCCTTCTTGGTCTAGGGAAGTAGTTTTCCTACTTAGAAGAAGTAAGTTGAATAATAAGTGAAATATCACAAACCAACTTTGGATAAATAATTAAATGTGTACTTGATAACTTTAAATCCACAGGTTCAAGTTGATAGTGCAGAGAGATGTTTTAATGAACCACAGAAATACATACTGACCTGAACATTTCTTAGTGATATGGCCACCTACCTACCTACCTAATCTGCACCTTGCTGTGCCAAATGATCATTAGTCAGTGTAAAAGCTTTTCCTTAACTGTACGTACAACCAGCATGCCCCAAGTACTTAGGGCTGAAATAGTTCTGTGCTCACAAAACCTTTTTTATTCCCCCAAAGCAGTCAGATGAAGACTTTACCAATCACAGTGACAATGATCAAAACCGGGTAAGGCTCATATATTTGAGTAACTTTTTTTTTTAATCTATTTTTTTTTAATTTTAATTTTTCATTGTGATTTGGGTGCCTATTTACACAGCAGATTCATTTCACTTTCAACGATTCATGCACTTTAGATTTTATGGCCCTGATTACAATCCCCAACTATTAAAAGCTCTCTTCACCTCTCCTCCCTGTGACTTGCCCCTCCCTGTGCCCTTCTTACCCATGCATTCCTGTCTGTCCAGCTTCCCCTCTATGCAAATGCTGCCCCTCCAATGCTCATGGCTGATTGATCTAGGGGGTACATCTACCTAGGGTAGGTGGGTGCATCTCCCTGGGGTAAGTGTTCTGCTTTTAGGTCTTTCTGCTGTTGGGCTGAGAATCCACGGAAGTAAGTCCATTTCCAGGCCTAAAGGATAACCCTGGGGCAATAGTCTCAGGGGTTCCACCAGTCTCTGCCTGACCAGTAATTCTGGTTATTGTTGTGTTTTTGAATTTTGCTCCACATTCTTCCCCCTACTCTATCCAGGATCTCCAATTTTGATCCCTTTCTGAGTGGTTGGCATTGGTAGCCGGACACTCTAGTTCTTCTGGTCAGTGTTGTGAAGGCTGACGTCCTCATGGTCTGTCATATCTTTGGACTAATTGTTTCCAAATGACTTTGATTTTCTTCACTATTCTTTGCTCCAGACAAAGGAGACCAATAATTGCATCTTAGATGGCTGGTTAAGACCCCAGTCGCTACTCAGTAGGATGTAGAACAAGATTTTTTTTTTTTTTAATTTTATTGATGTGGGTGAAAGTTTACAGAACAAATTCATCTTCTGTACAGCAGCTCACATACACTTTGTCTCATGACATTGACTGTAATCTTCTACGGTGCAGCAGGTCTCCTCCTACTTCCTCCCCATAGCCACTTCTTCCCTGTGTCCTTTCCTCCCATGGACTCCTGCCCCCCGGGCTGTCTACCTGTGCATACACAGCCCTTCTGTTCTCCCATGATTGATCTCTCCAAGGTGTGTATCTACCTAATGTAAATGTTGAACAAGATTTTTATGTACTGTGTTGTGTGAGTTGAGTATAATGTCCCCCAAGACCATGGTCCCGGGCCCACAGGCCCAGTGATTCTTGCCCTCATGTATTTGGTTGTCTCTGAGAAGCTACTCCAACCTTGTCCTCTGTTACTTCTGTAATGTATGGGGATAATTTTATAGCACAAGTACATATATGACTATCTTAGCCAAATCTATCCTTGGTATAGGATATATTCCTGTTTGCCTGCTCCCACCTGATCTTCTCACCTGTCTGTGCATTTACCACAGCTTAGTGTTTGCTGTCACTGATAGTGCAGGATTGTGTGTGTAGTAGTGTCTATATCTTTTGTTCACATTGTCTATATCTTTTGTTCACATTTCTGTGTCTTCCCTTTCCCCACTGTCACTGTACTGGTCACAGACTCTTTCCATACCACCAGTCACCTCACTGAAATCAACATGTGACTCCCAACTAGTCCAAAATTTTCCTTCCTCCTCTCTACCATCCCCATAACCAACAAAGTGAATTTCCTTCCCTGCATAAACCTTTCCTTGACTTTTTACAATAATGGACTCATAATAATTGTCCTTCTGTGATTGACTTATTTCACTCAGCATAATGTCCTCCAGATTCATCTACATTGTGAGGTGATTGATGGATTCTTCATTATTTTTTAATGTTGTATAGTATCCCGTTGTGTGCATGTACCATAGTTTGGTTATCCATTCATTAATGTTGATGGGCATTTAGGTTGTTTCTGTCTCTTTGCTATAGTGAATTATGCTGTGATGGACATGAGTGTCCATATGTCAGTTTGTGTTCTGACTCTCACTTCTTTAGGATATATTCCTGGGAATGGAATTGCTGGATCAAATGGAATTTCTATTTTCAGTTTTTTAAGGAAACACAATACTATTTTCCGCAGTGGGTGTATCATTTTATAGTCTCTCCAGCAATGTTTGAGAGTTCCAGTCTCTCCATACCCTCACCAGCAGTTGTTATTTTCTGTCTTGTTGAACTTTGCTATTATTGCTGGGGTGAGATGATACCTCATTGTTGTTTTGATTTGCATCTCTCTAATAGCTAATGATGGTGAGCATTTCCTTATGTGTTTGTTGGCCATCTGTATATTTTCTTTAGTGAAGTGTCTGTTCCGCCTTTTTAAATTGGGTTGTTTGTCTTTTTGGTGTTTAAGGTGTTAAAGTTTTCTATAAATTTTGGAGATAAGTCCCTTGTCAGATATATCATAACCAAATATTTTTACCCAATCTGTAGGTTCTCTTTTTACCCTTTTGGAGAAGTCGAGAAGTCTTTTGATGCACATAAGAATTTTAATTTTTAATTTTAAAATGTCCCAGTCATCTAGTTTCTCTTCCACTGCTTGTACATTTTGGGTTGTGCTTAATAGTCTATACCATAAATTAGGGGCCCTAGATTTGCTGCTATTTTATCTTTGATGAACTTTATAGTTTTGGGTTTTACATTTAAGTCTTTGATCCAACTTGAGTACATTTTTGTGTATGGGGTGAGATACGGGTCTTTTTCAGTTTTTCTGCAAGTGGATATATAGTTTTACCATTTGTTAAAGAGGCTGTATCTCCCCCATTTAATGAGTTTTGGCCCATGGTCAAAGATCAGCTGTCCATAGATGAATCGGTCTATCTCTGGGTTTTCAGAGGTCTCTTTGTTGATGTAGAGGAATCCACCTGCTTTTTATGTGTTGACCTTGTATCCTGTCACTTTGCTGAACCTTTTTATTAGTTCCAGTAATTTTTTTTGCTGAATCTCTTGGATTTTCTATGTACAGGATCGTGTGATCTGCAAAGAGAGAGAGATTTACTTCTTCTTTGTCAATTTGGATGCTTTTTACTTCTCTTTCCTGCCTTATTGCCTTGCTAGGACTTCCAAAACAATATTAAATAGAAATAGCAATAGAAGGCATTCTTTTCTGGTTCCCATTTGCAAGGGGAATGCTTTAAAGTCTTTCTCTATTGACAATAATGAGAATAGCCTCTTTAGCAAATGGTGCTGGCAAAATAATAATTTGTTTTGCATATATGCCCTTTATTATGTTGAGGATTTTCCCTTCTATTCCTATTTTGCTGAGAGTTTGAAACAGGAACGGGTGTTGAATTTTAGCAAATGCATTTTCTGCATCAATTGATATGATCATATGGTTCGTTGTTTTATTTTATTTGTGTGATGGATTACATTGATTGTTTTTCTGATATTGAACCACCCTTGCCTGTGTAGTGTGAGTCCCATATTTTTAAATTTTAATTGAAGTGTAGCATATAGACTAAAACTACTTTTGAATGGTTTTCTCAATTATGATAAAGGAAGTGAGGACTTCCTCATGTTTACAGCCAACTTTCCTTCAAGGATTTTAGGTATTTAGGTTAACTGTGCTCTTTTATAGTTTTTCTAATTTTGCTTTGTATTTTACTTAACAAATTGGAAAACAGAGTCCTAAAAAGGCCCAGTAATTGAATTGTTTTATCTGAATCTCCCTTTTCCATTTTAAAATATGAGATAGTAACATTAAATGAACACTCAAAAGATGAAAATCTTCTAATTCTTTAGTCTTTGTACAGGTATCTGTATTTTTATGTATCTTGTAAGAATATGTTTTTTTCATAAAATGCGTATTTTATTTTCTACTGTTCTATATTAAATGTTATGTTTCCTTGACATTTTATATAGTCATTGTACTTTGCTTTGTAAAGTGCTTAAGTACTCTATAAAAATCTTAAGCAAGCTGATATATGATACTGTCATAGTTTCTAAATATATCAGTAAAGGAAATAGTTTGTTTCTAGGTTTTTATTTTTGAGGTAATGCTGTAAATCATTATTGTCATACATCAAAATCCCTTACTTAGTAGAACTGTTTCCTTGGGTATAAGGTAGCGTAGAGTTACGTTAATGGCTCTTGACACTATTCTTTGAAGATAGTTCCAATTTTCAGATCACACATACTGATTTTCCTACAATCTCATATATGTCAGGGTGGCGTTCTGCTTGTTTGTTGTTGTTGTTGTTATGTGCTGTCAAGTCTGCCCCGACTCATAGCAACCCCTCCTTGGGTTTCCAAGGTGGTAGCATGACGGAAGTAGATTGCCCAACCTTCTTCTCCTGAGGAGTGGCTGGTGGGTTTGAACCACCAGCCTTCTGGTACACCACCAGAGCTCTGCTTGTTTTTTCCCATTGCATATGTACAGTGGTGAATTGAAATTGAAATTGAAATTGAAGTTTAAATTTGCATTTCAATTTCCTAATTATGAAATGTTTTTTCACAAAGAATTCAACTATAAAATGAAGGATACACATGTTGTATGCATTTTTGATTGATACATGCACTTTCTCAAGTCATTAATGTGACTGGTCACTGTAATTTTAATAATCAGTTTTTTTCCAGGGGACTGTTTTCACTCCTACAGTGTTTACTGTTAAGATCCATAAATTCTGTTTTATGAACAATGAAATATAATGACTATCAGCATTAGCTTACCCATTGCTTTGTATTGTTAAAGCTAGACTGGTTTTTGTACCAGTCTTTCACTTCTTAGCTCTATAACTTTGAGCAAACTAACCTCTGAGGTGTAAGGATTAAATTAGTTAATAAAGTGCTTTCAGCATAGTGGCTTGCACAGTTTATTGGTTTAAACATAATTTTTTTTTTTTTTTCATATAAATTATACATAACCACTGGATGCCTTTGAAAAATTAGAATTTATCAGTTAAGGCTAAACTTAAGTCCTCCAATCCTTGTCCTCTCTTTACACTCTCATAAAGTAATTGGTGTTGTGATCTAGGAATATATATTTCCAAGTTTTTTTTCATGAATTTACAAATATGTCCGTAGAAATAGTATAGTACATGTGTGTAAGGGTAGGTTATCACACTGTATTTATCTATTCTGCATATTTTCACCCAGACTGTCTCAGATGTCTCTCCACTTGTTACAGCATGTTGCTTTGAACATTTACTCAGTATTCTTCCTAAGATTGAACTTTATTTACTTGTCTAGTGATGGGCATTTTAAATGTTTTAATATTTTACTGTTATATTCTTGAATTGACAAAATGTGTTTATTATGCCAGCATTATTACTACTTCATATCTTTTGCTGCTATTCGTATTACTATTTTAAAAAGCTATTACCTTTTTGAAGAAGGAGCCTGAAGGCTAGTTATAGTGTCTCTTTTTCAGCTTGATAAAACTGTGCCTAATAGTGTAATCTGGTGGGTTGTACCCTTAGCACACTGCACAGATGAGCGAGGAAGAAGAGGATGATGATGGCTGTGACCTTTTTGCTGACTCTGAGAAGGAGGAGGAAGATACTGCAGATGTTGAACAAAGTGCTAGACCTGTAAGAAAGTACAGTTGTTATCCATCGGCAAGGCTTTAGAAATAGTACCTAGGACTCATCCCTTTTATAGTTAGTCATTGATATTTGTAATGTTATTGTAATCATATTTGTAATTTCATTTATACTTTTGAAAATAGTGGTGAGCACTCCAAATTTTCTTACAAGTGCCACATTTCTCTCCAAATATTAACAATTGTACCATTGAGATCATTCAGGATATATCAGTTCCAGAAGTTTTAAGGTCATGATGTTCTTTTTTTCCCCTTAGTCTTCCTGAAGCGCTTCATGCCAAATAGTTTTCAAATGTACTTGTTCAAGTATTAAAGTGAAATATTAAAGAAATAAGGAAATAGAGATATCTCCATTTTGAATTTTATGAGTCCTGTTTCTCAAATGATCTGTCCAATAGTTCACTTAATTAAACCCTGTTTTCTCCTCAGTTCAGGTTCTTTGCTATTTTTTTCCACAATTTTGTTAGGTGAGCAAAAGTAAAGTGAGCTATTTTGTATGTTACCAGAACGATGATTCTTTTGATTTCTTCTGCCTGTAGAAAAGAAGTAGACCTACATCATTTGCTGATGAGTTAGCAGCACGAATCAAAGGGGATACCATTGGCCAAATAGATGAGAGCCAAATAAGTAAGTCCCAGAGAAGAATTTATGAGGGGAGTGGAGAAGGAAGATAGGACTCTGTCTTAGGCTTCACTGAGCATGCTTTTCAATTACAAAGGCACAAGAGAGGCTTAAAATAGTACTACTTTTTTTTCCTTTTTGGTTTACAGACTCCTTTGGTAAGAGAACACTGTAGATTCCCAAGAAAAATGCACATATGCATACCTATACAACATTTTATATGCATTTTTAGAGGATTATTGGATATTCTAGAGATATTCCATGAATGCTGGATTAAGAATTCCTGGCTTAATCACTCCTATCCTATATTTTAAATTCTAAAAAATTGTATTACATAGTATATTCTAGTCACTTACCAAGGTAGGAAAAAATAATTTCTCAATAAGTAGAGTTCTGCTACATATGAGACACTGGTATGTAAGATGAAGCTGGCTGCCTTGATGCATTCTTGAAAGGACTGCCTGTTAGGTGTAAAGCGCTGAGTGAAGTGCTAAGGTGGAGCTGAGATACAAAGGTGAATGTCTTCATCTCAGCTTATGAATAATAAGGGTGGCAAACAGCTGTGTAAAGAATCAATAGATGTCTGTTAAAAGTGGACTGAGTATTGTTAAAGCTGTGAAATATCTTTTAGCTGTGTCCTCAGGGGATGCAAAACCGTGGAAGACATTGAAAGAGAAGGAAAGGACAGCTCCTTCAGATGGTAGGCATTTTCTCTGAATTCTGTTTATGGAGCCTCTTGACTCAGTAGTGTTGCGTACAGTTTTGGGAAGTACCTCTTTGAGCTGATGAGTGAGCTCTGTATTCACCTTTTCAGAGCATCTAAAAGCAGGCGTTAGGGGAGCTAAAAAGATGGGATATGCAATAAAAATTACTGTAAAGATTTGAATGATTACAGTTTATAGAAATAATTACCTGTTTTTCTGGAATTCTCTCAAAGTTACGTAAGGATTACTACCATTTTTTTCAATAAAGTATATCGGATGCTTTCATATTAAGCTAGTTCTTATTGTTAGGTGCCACTGAGTTGTTCTTGACTCATGGCAGCCCAGTGTACAGTGGAACTAGTACCTGCCTAGTCCAGGCCATCCTCATGATGGGTTATGGATTGGGCCACTGTGATCCATAGGATTTTCATGGGCTCATTTTTTTGAAAGTAGATTTTAGACCTTTCATTCCTAGTCTATCTAGTCTGGAAGCTCTACATCATAACAAAACACAAGTCCCTACTAACAGACAAGTGGTGGCTGTGTATGAAGTGCATTGGCTGGAATCAAATTTGAGTTTCCCAAAGGGAAGGCAAGAATTCTGGCACTGAACCACGACTTCCCCCAATAAGCTAGTAAAGTACTTTATATTTCCACTGTAACTTTGTCAATCTGAAGATTTCTTTGTTCCGTTTCCCCTTCTTTCCCTCAAATTCTTGGTAAGATGGATCTTGAATGTGACAATTGAATGCTTATTCAAAAGAAACAAGCCTACATACAGGGGATCACCTAAAGTATCCACCCTGTTCCAGCCATTTACATATTTGAGGATAGTCTAGAGAGGTAGTCTAGAGAGCCTTCTTCTTTTTTTTTTTTTTTTAAGAGAGCCTTCTGAGGAAATCAGTGGATATTATTAATGGGTTTTGTTTGAAATTCAGCAGAATTCCCTCAAATATAACTTGTTAAATGTAGTTAAATGAACTGCATCTGCATGTCAGTTTTGGAGAAGATATAATAGAGGTTAAACCCTTGACTTTGAGTTCCAGACCCATCTTTAATTCTACTTGTGAAACATTGTTTTCTGCTTTTCTAGATGAAGAAGAAAACTTATTTGCACCCCCTAAACTGACTGATGAAGACTTCTCACCTTTTGGCTCTAGAGGTGGCCTATTCAGTGGAGGGAAGGGACTTTTTGATGATGAGGAGGATGAGGTGAGTCAGTGATCATCACTGATAAGCTCCATTGCTGTGTCATGGAATCACAAAGAAGAAATAAGCTTTATTCCTTTGGTATGGAAAGTGGCATCTTAGTTGGAAGTTGCTTTTACTGTCGTATTTTAGGATGCTTTAAACCAAGAATCAGAGAATGAGGAAATAATACTATATCCTGATGTCCTTTGTTAGGTATGGAGAGGATGTGGAACTGTTAATAATTTACTTGACTAGGAGATTATTTCTTACCTTATTTATTCTACCTTGTTTGTATCCTGGATGGTCTTAAATTGTTCGAGGGTTTAATTGTGCTGTGGTCTTCATTTAGGAACTAATTTTCTGGTAGAAGAGTAAGTAGATAGTTTAAACTTTACAGGGTACTTTCCTTGAGAACTCCCAAATGAAGCTACACTTTCCCCTGCTCTTTTGAATTGTGTGTCATATCCTTGTTCTAACAGAGTGACCTCTTCATGGAAGCCCCTAAGGACCGGGAAGTTGCAGCCCCCGTTCATGAAGGTGAGCATGGATTGAGGCTGACTCTGCCATTTGATGTGTACCTTACCATATTGTTTTATTCCCATTCTTGCTAGTAGTATCTTCATGTTTTTATGATATTTCTCATGTTTTTTGCTATTCTTTATGTATATGTATTCTCATCACACTGGAGTGAGCAGAGTTGGGAGCCCTGATTGTTCTTCTCCTGTCTCCCCCGTGTGTTCTGTGTTCTTCCTTCACCGCCCCACCCACTTCCTGCTGGTGTTTGACCAGAGTCAGAGGGACCTTCCATGGGAGTCACATTTTAGATTGTGCTAGTTATAAGAAAAAAAATCGTGATAATGATAGAAAACTGTAGAATTTTAAAATGTCTTGTTTAGGAAAAATTAATTTTTAAAGTCTGTTAGCTATATGTATTGTTGTATATATTTAAGGAAGGTAGGTCTAATAAGGAAAGTCATTTTCTTTGTGAAATGCTTATGTCTTTGTTTCTCATTTTAGAGTCTTCATCTTCCAAACCTGGAAAAAAAATCCCAGCAGGAGCTGTCTCTATATTTTTAGGTATTCTTAAAAGTTAAATAAGTATTTTGTCATTTTTAAAAATTTTTTTGTCTTCTAAGGACTGGCTTAGGAGGTATCTTGTTGCTTCAGAGGGCACTGAAAAGCTTCAGGAAGTAACTTTGTCACTGGTGTTATCTCATGTTCTTTTAGAAACTAGTGAGTGGCCTTGGATTTTTTGTATTGGAATGGCCAGGTGATTCTCTATTGTGGGACTTTCTGTAGTTGTAATAGATAGTGGTGACTGAATCCTGTTAATGTGCTTTGTGGGTGAACTAGAACTAAAAGTTTTTGCTCGGTACTGCTTTTTTTTTTTTCTCTTCCTTAGATGCCCATACTGGTGCACAGCTATGACTGTCTTGGTTCTCTGCCCACAGGGGATGCTGATGTGTTTGGTACCACCTCTCCTTCATCCCTGAAAGAGCCTCCGAAGCCTGAGCAACCTACTGCAGGGAGAAGCCCACACCTCCCAGCTCATACTGGCCTCTTCGATAATGATGAGGAGGATGATGACTTTTTTACAGCACCCTGCATCAAATCTTCCCAGACAGGTATCTGGTCCAGGCTCTGGTTCTGGGAATTTAGCCAGAAAAAGAATATTGACCTGAAAAAAAAACAAAAAGCTCCTCTAGTCCTATATCCTCTGGTAGTGCATTCCAGTCATGGAGCCATCTAATCTCCACTTGGATGGAAGTCTCTTATTTTATGAACCAGTCTTTCCTGCTTTGGAAACTAATTATACTAGGGTTATCTTCCTTGTAGAGAGCTGAAATCTGTTGCCGTATAACTTTTGCTCAGGAGTTTTAGTTCTGACTTTTGGAGTTAGAAAGTTTTAACCATGCATTTTCCAGCAGTCCTTAGTAAGTTGCATGAACAGAGGATTACATGCTGGCTGTTTAGTCCTCAACTTCTTTCATCTATCTCTGCCTGAAAGCCCAAATGTTCTTGTCTTTTTCTTATATGGGAAGGTTTTTTGCCACTTAGCTACTTCTCCACTCTTCCTTTTTCTCTCCTGAAAGTTAAGTCAGTGTGTTTGAGATATCATTACTGTAAGTCATTGTTCTTTAATATGCAATCAAATAATGCACATGATTCTGATTCAGTAGTTGTGGGGTGAGCTGAGATTGTGGATTTCTGAAAAGCTTCCAGGTGCCATAGAGGCTGCTGGTCTGTGGATCACACTTGGAGTAGCAAGGCTCTTGGTGACTTAGAGTCACTGAGTGCTTTTGCAGGTGAGAGTAGATCACTGAGATGTACACAATTTCCAAATACTTGAAGAAAGGATTCTTCCTCATAAGGAACAGGTGCAACCAGAATGCACTGAGAAGCAGGCTACTTCAATTTCTTCTCCTTTTCAAGTGATAGGTGTAGAAAAGGATAGAAGCTTAGTTGTTTCACAAGAAGGACAGCTGATGCAGAATATACTCAGATCTGTGCAGACTGAAATGACATGAACCTAAAGGTAGTCATGGCTATGGATATCATTGAGAACTGACTGAGAGTCACAAATGAGTTGATGCCACTTTCTTTGACAACTGCTGGTCTCTTGGGGTGTTCATGAGTCAGTGCCCTTGTTTTAATAATGCATGCTTCATTCCGTGCAGCCTAGTTCGTAGTCATGATGGGTTGGAAACTACCAATACAGTATGGGAATCTAAGATCTGTTAATTGGAAACAGAAAAGTATAAGATGCATTGTTCAAATTATGTTATAGTTCCTTATTTGTACATAAGTTAATACCTTAGTATGTTCCTTGGGGGAAATTAAAAGGATCTATACCAGACTGCAACTGATGGCTGTCATTTTCAAGTAGAGGAATGGAGTTAAGGGGGAAATTTCAGTATTTGCTTTTATATACTTCTGTATAACCTTTTAAAAGCAAGTGCTTGTCCTTACTTCTCAGAAACACTCCTAGAACAATGGACTTGATGGCCCTCTTAAATATTATCTTTCTTTCTATAGCTCTCTACCTATTAAGTGAGTCCAGGCAGACTATTAAGTAGATGCTGCTTGGATATGTATTTCAGCCAGATTGATACATATCCAAGCACCATATTTATCTGAACCATTGTTATACTCTTAGAAAAATTCCAAGGGAAAAGTTTTTATTGTTGTCAGGAGCTTGTAAGCAGTAAAGTTCCATTTAATATTTTTTTCATAACTGATTAGGAAGTGATAAAATTTTCTGTTGTTCTTTAAGAGTGAAGAATTTTTAATCTGTGAATTTTATGAGAAGATTTTTGACCTTTGTATAATTTTATGTTGTGGTATCTTTTCAAAGACAAAGTCAAATCCACTGCTGATATCTTTGATGATGAAGAAGAAGATCTGTTTAAAGAAAAAGCAGCTTTGCTAGAAGCTCCTGTGAATCACACAGATAAAGCAGGAAAAAAGGTGAGCAGGAGACACAGGAATGTGGAGTTGGAGTATCTTGCCAAATCATCTAGAACCCTGAGAGAAATGTTTACTTTCAAATTTATTATGAAAAACTTCAGACGTTCAGAAACTTGAAAAAAGAGTATAATGGATACCTAAATAGCTACCACTCTGATTCAACAAGTAATATTTTGCCAATGTTTTAGCTGTTTACCTTTCTAAGTATATATATGTTTTTCCTGAACTATTTGAAAGTAAGTTGTAGTAATTCTGACATTTTACTCCTAAATATTTTATCAAGCATCTCTTAAATAAGATTCCCACATAACCACATTACTGTTGTCACAGCTGAGAGATTAAATAGTAATTCTGTAGTAGAATCTAATACCTAGTGCATATTCAAATTCTGCAGTTGTCCCTAATACATCTTTTTACAGTCAGACCCAAATCATACATAGTCATACTCCAGTTTCTCCATGTGTCCCAAAAATGCATTTATAGTGTTTTTTCAAAGAAGCCCAGTATCCAGGCATTGTTCATGCATAGACAAGGCCTGCCTCTGCAGTATCCTTTTTATCTAAAACAGTGTTCCCCACATCTTTTCTTTTCATGGCAGGCCATTTGCCTTGTAGAATGTCTCCCGTACTGATTTGCCTGATTATTTCCAATGATTATATTCACTTTAAATACTTTTGGCAAGAATGCCCTCTAGGCAAGATTGTGTGCTTCCTGTCAAATGGCCTCAGGAGGGACATTGTGTCCCTTGTGCCACTGCCAGTGATGCTGAGTTTGAGCCCTTAGTTAGAAGTATGTCCACCGTATTCCTCCATTAGAAAACTACCCTGTTTTCCTTTGTCATTGATAAGTAGTCCCTGAATGGAAGAGCTTTTCTCTTACCCTCTTCCCTTTTTAGTATCACTATAGAGTCATGACGGCACGTAACAACAATAGAGTCATGAGTTCTTGATTCCATGTGTTATAACCCATTATTGTCAGTATTCTTTTGATGCTCAAAACTGCTCTGTGTTTGGCCAGTGGGATGTATCCCCATCAGTTTCTCAGTAGTCTGGTTGCTGTCCCTTCCCCGCCAGCCTGCACAGCTCGCTGTCTCCTTTTCTTGAAGCATGTCGCATCCTTGCTATGAAACCCTAACCTTCTGCTGCTTATGTCATACAGTCCCAGCGCAGAACCTGGTGGACTCCATGTGTGGTTGTACACATTCCCCTTGTGCACTGTACGATACAGTCTGTACTGTTCACTGATAGCCCATTGTTACTTTTTGTTTTTTGCTTGGTTTGCTTTTCTTAACAGTTCCCTCTACCCATACCTGGTTCCCTCTACCTGGAATGTCCTTACCTGTACCATCTCCCTGCACAGTTTCTCAAAAAAACTGTCTTTTTTTCTTTCCTAGTTTATAATTTTTTTTAAAAAAAATTATCTTTCATAATACTTCTCCTCTGTATTGATTTTATATATATCCAGGGTCTACAACATTTCTGTACCCCTGGCATGTGGTGTGGTGTTGTATCATAGTAGGGACTCTGAATTTTCTGAATGAATGGTTGAAAACCTTGATTTCCAGGTATCTTGTTGACGCTCACTTTTTTTTGTCCCCAACAAAGGTTACTCTGCCTTCCAGCAAACATCTCAAGCTCTCGTCAGAAGCAAAAACTCAAAAAGGTTTATTTTCAGATGAGGAGGACTCTGAGGTATTGAATATTTTTTCTTAGTGCTGAGTATTATTAGTCCATGAATGTGTCATTAGAAATGATTTCTGAATCAAGTTTTTCTCAATCGAGATATAAGATTTTTTATTAAGTACTTCAGTTATTTCTTTGAAAATTATCTCTGGAGAACATACAATCTTTGGAAAGCAATATGTATGCACAATACGTTTCAATGTTGAGTTTGAATCCGGTGCATTTCCTGGGAGGAAAATACTCTTCGTATCAGAGTAATGTTTTGCACAAGAAATATTCTTGAGAGAATATTTAAGGGATTGTGGTTCTGATGGAGAAAGAGTGCTGCTCAACGTTGTGAGCTGCTTATTGGCCTGTGAGGCAGTGAGGCTCTTAAGCTACAATGGAAGTCAATGTGCTTCTCCTTCATGGACAGTTTCACTAGATAGTGTGCTCGGTAATCTAGTCATGTGTACCCTGGCACAAGATAAAAAGCCCGCCCTTTTACCTTGCTGTGGCCTGATAACAGTTTGTGCGCTGGCACTGGTTTGCAGACTTGGCATGATGTGACTCACATTCTGGTACTGCCATCTTGCTCCTCCTTGTCACCTTGTGGCAGCCACAGTGGCCTCATGGATATCCCTCAAGCATATCAACCATGCTCCCACCGGGACCTTAGTATCACTTTCCCCTCTGCATGCAATGCTTCTTAGAATCGCTATGGCTTGCATCTTCCCTTCTAGTTCCCTGCGGGGTCCTCCCTAAAGACCCTGGACATAGTAGCAAGCCAGCCAACACACACCATATTGAACTTCTTAGCCCCTCCTCAGTTTTGTTTTTTCAACCAAAGTGCTTATCACCATATGACATTGTCTATTTACTCATGTGTTTGTTATTGCATCACTTCCCAAGTAGAATTAGCTTCATGAAGGCAAGGATATGTTGGCGTAGTGCCTAAGGCGTTTGACTGCTAGCCAGAAGGCTGGAGGTTCAAACCCACAAGCCACTCCTAGGAAGGAAGATTGGGCAATCTACTTCCATAGAGATGCTGCCTCAGAAACCCAAGGAGGGGTTGCTATGAGTCAAGTCAACCTGATGGCAGTGAGTTTGATTTTTTTGGTTTGTATCTCTAACATCTAGACTAGTGTCTGACACATGGTAAGCTGTCAAATAGTTGGTGACTGCATGAAGAAACTGAATGTGAACAATTTTTTTTTTTTTAATTTTATTTTGATTTGGGTGAAAATTTACAGAGTAAATTCACTTTTCATACAGCAGTTCACATATACTTTGTCTCCTGTCATTGACCAAAATTTACAATACAACAGCTCCCCTCCCACTTCCTCCCTATAGTTACCTCTTCCCAGTGTCCATCCCTCCATACTCTTCTGTGCCCTGAGCTGTCTCCCTGTGCATAAGCAGCCCTTCCTTCTCCCATGATTGTTCTCTCCAGGGTGTGTGTCTACT